TAAAAAAAATAACAAGTAATGAGGAAAGTAATAAATGAACCTCACAGACACACATTAATGAGGAAGTCACAGCAGAGATAATAATGAGGATCCAGAATGCTTCAGCCACTGATTGATGGTCCATTAGAGGAACTACTCAGGCAGAACCCTCAAGAATGTCAGCCTGAATAATTATTAACTGATAGGAAGGGGTAAATATGATTAACATGAGTGTTGTGGAAAAGTTGAAGGTGCTTGAGATATGGGCTATGAGAAAAGGCTTTTTGATTTATGTAAAAATGACTATAGGGTGTTTAGGAAAAGGACCAAAAGATCCAAAGAAAAGTGGGGGAAAATGGGGTCAGAAACTGGAGAGGCCCACCTGCAAAAGAGAGCTGTGTGCCAATGGCCAGGGGAGACCACAGGTCTTAGGGCTTATGGATCTAGGTACTAGCACATGGAGGGACTTGCATGGAAGGGTCTGTGTGCCAGGAACTGGAGGGACTGTGGGCCACAGGGCTTGTAGATCTAAAGACCAGCCACTGGAAGGACTGGTATGTGTGTCGTGTGTGTCTTGAAAGGCCCAGGTGCCAGCAGCAGTTGGAGGGATCAGGTTGTGTGTTGGTGCGTAAAAGGTCTAAGTGCTGGCAGCTGGAGAGATCTGTGTGTGTTAATATTTCTTCAGTGAATTTAATCCTGTGTGTGTGCATAATTCACTAGCAAACTTCAAGCTAGACTAGCTGGGGGGCTGCAGGAAACATTTCCACATCTGGATGACTCAAACAGCACACTGCCCTATCTGGCAAGCAGTGGTGTGTACCACTGCCAGGACTCCCCAGCATGGATATTTAACAGGTTTAGAGGCCATGCTAGCATTTAAGGGGACTGTGCATGTTTGAGTGTTGAAAATGAGGGCACACATTTTTTCACCAGAGAACTTGCATTCTGATTTCCTGGAGGGGAGGAAGAGGACAGGGCTGTGTGCCCTTCTCTGGGTTTGGGAAGCATTACAGTGGGGTTGTGCTGCCCATGCTGCTCTGTGTGTGTGTGTGTGTGTGTGCAGCAGCCTGTCCTGCCAGCCACTTCAGAGACCCTGGTGTGTGTGTGTGTTTGTGTGTGTATGTGTGTGTATGTGTGTGCGTGTCTGTATGTGTGTGTGTGTGTGTGTGATTGCATCTCAGACACAGCTGTGCTGCCATCCAGACCTGGAAGAGGAGCAGCAGCCACATCCTTAGGACTGGGATGTAGAGACCAACTGGGACCATTCCTGGCTGGGCATGTTGGCCGGGGAGCTGGATCCTGGATCTGGGAGATTTAGTGGCTCCCTTAACACCCCCGACAAACAGAGCTACGATGCAGTAGGATTTAGAGGAAAACAGAAGCATGGAAATAAAAGGGCCAGAGAAAGCAAAACGTCCCTCCCCAAGGACACTTCTCAGAGGGAGATGGCAGCCTCCATGGGCAGAAATCATCACATTTGTGGTGTTTTGGAGGGGGGCAGTGAGAGACAGAAGTGCCAGTAATGGAAATGTCAGGTCACACCAGATGGTTGGTAGACTGGTATGTGAATGTGTTCACATTTAAAGGTCAACAGCTACTTTGATTGCCTGGGATGGGTGTTGATGATTTTAACATTTGTCATGCAATTTACCCTAACTCTGGGCAAGAGCAGTACAAATGTGTGGAAATTTGATGAGGGAGCAAGTCTTCCTCTGAATACTACTGCACAGTACAAAGCAACAAAAGTGTATTCTTCTGTATCAATGCTATATATATAGTCCTTCTCTGATTCATATTCTCTGAAATGTAGTTGTATTTAAAGCATTCATAGCTGGATTTATTAGCTTTTGTTGGAATCCAAAGATTCATGAAAACAGCCAGACAAAATTAACAAAGATTTGTCAGAGCTAACAAACATCCTGGATAGGAAAATACCCTACTATAGCTGTCTTAAAATAACTTTCCTATTTCCACATGTCTTCATCAGCAGTTTTCATGCAAATAATCTTCCAAATGCGCCTTCAATTAAGATATGCACATAGATTTACATGGAGTTAAGAAGACACAAATGAGACTGTTCATGAATTCAACCCTGGCTACAACCCTTAATATTTTAAAGTGTGAGCATTTGATAAATTCAGATGTGAGGTACCAGATTTGTGACTGTAGAGATCATTTATATTTTTGAAATCCAGATTACAAGAGATACTTACCTGTACTTTCATCAGAAGAGACCTTAATACACAGAGTAGTATACACAATATAATACACAATATAATTTCAGTACATTGAGGAAGATACAAATGCTGTAGGGTATATCCTGAAATGTTAAACTTTCATGGGAAAAAGTCTTAAGCTTCTGCTTAGTCATTTCAAACAGGAATCAATGAAGAATGTGATTTAAAACTGAATCTCCCAGTCAGTGAGTGTTAACAACTCACTTCTATATGGCCAAAGGAGAGGTTTCTTAATGTCCTTAACTGACCTAAAAATACTCAAGAGGAGTATTTTTTTTTTCAGTTTTACACTGCAGAAAAATTACTCAGGAAATGCAGAATGAGAGTCAAGATTACACTTTATTGTGTATCATGAAAGTTATGCTTACTGGCTCAAGTTCCTGAACAAATGAATTTTTCTTATGAAGCTCTAGCACAAGTGACTTGATGATCTTAATTTTGGAGAGGTATATTTTACACATTTACAGATAATATTATCCCAGGTCAGATACTGTGTTAGCTGGACAGAGAGCAGCCTGGGAGTTTACTTTTTTTTCCTGGAGCAAGTTTATTCACAGAAAGTTTTACTAAAAATCTTTACTGTAAAGGTATCTCTGTAAAATCACTGAGATACTAATGTGATACTAATGTAAACACCACCAGTGTTAAATCTGCACCAATCCATTTATCTTTCCTGTCCTTCTCACACTGTAGTGACTCAGGTTGGTTTTCAACAAGGATTTACTCTACCCACATGCCTGCTCAGGCACATTCCACTCTCTACACACCAGGACCAGCGTGAAAACCCTATTACTGTGTTCCCACAATATGCAGCACAAGGGTTTGGGCTGTGGACATTGACTCCTTGGGTTGCCTGCGCTGCTCCTGTTCCTCATTCAAGAGCATCTCTAGCAAAGACCCTGATCTAAGTGAATGTTTTCTCCTCTGCTCCTCCTTTTCCGGGCTCCAGATTTGCTGTACAGCTGGACCCAGCCGAGTATGTGCACATTGTATCCAGAACTGTGTGCATGACTCATTCCCCACTGCTGAGTCTATCAGGAGTCACAGCATGGGCGTAAAAATAAACTAACTCCAGCATTCAAGTCAGTGGCTCAGGTGTGGAATAACAAAAAAAGAAAAAAAAACCAACAACGTGGGTCATCATTCTAGCTACTTCTTGGTCTTTCTTCAAGAATCTCAGCACTGTAGAAAATTTTTTAGTCATGCCACCTACAATCTATACTAAACAGCATATGCAGCCTCCTATTCCTGATACAGGCAAACCAAGTCACTGCTATTTGCATCACACAGATCAGCTCTGCTCAGTTTAGCTTTTGCACAAGTTACAAATTACTGAGTCATAATGTCAGTCTGGCAGGCATAGCATTGTCTGAATGCAAGAAAGGGACTGATCCTAGACACCAGCCCTCCTGCTTCTGCTGAGTGTGTCAGGTGTCTCGTGCCACCCACGCCAGGCAGACACGGTCCCAGGGTGTAGGGCAGGGGTCATGACTTTTCATTTTCTTTAGGCACAATTCAGAACAGAGATGTACCTTTTTTCCTTTTTATTTTCCCCACAGCTCTCCTTATCCACTGCTATTAGAGCTCAGGGTCTTTTGCTAAGACACAGATATTGTCAGCTGGACTACCTTTGACTTTGATAAATAGGATCTTAATTCTCCTCTCTTCTTGGAGTGCATTTTCAAGCTATCTTTGGGGCTGGTAGTACAGATAGTTATGTCTCAAAAGGAAAAGATAACCAACAATTAAACTGCCTTTTCTTAAACAGCCAGTGCTTTTCTTCAAATCTAGAATTACTGCTTAGAGACTTTTGTAGTATTGATGCAGTAATGGCACAACATCTCTATTTTGCTCTGTGCTATGAAATAGTGAAGAAATATATGGTGATGTCATTTTCCAGCTTCTTTCAATGACATATACTCTATTACAAAAGAGAATTCTAAAGTTGAGATTTAAAGACTTGTTTCATGCAAAAAGATTATGAATTTTTTTGCAGCAGACAGATTCATGTGGTTGCTTTCCTTGTCTTCTCCCTTTTTTGAGCATCAACAGAAATATCTGGGAAAAATAATGACCACAACAGCTCAGGCTGATTACTGCTTACACCAGATACACTCTAACTGGTATCATAAAAGCTGCAGACAGGTTTACATTGGAGTTCTTTTGCTCATTAATTCCTAAACTTCTACTGGAGATGAAAATTTCCATGCTTGATCTATGCCTTTGACTTCACCTATGGTGAAAACAAAATAGCATCAAAGAAGTTTAACTGGAACGTCAAGAACTTAAAAGAACAAAACCAAACCTCATTGTTTCCCAAGGCTGCGCTGCTTAATCCTACAATACATAAACATGGTCACTCTTCCAATGCAATACCCATGGGAAAAAAGACCTGTGTGCTCTTTAGGAGATTTGAATCTTATCTCTAAACAATTTGGTGGAATATTTTGATTAACTTCTTAATGATAGCCTTTCTACTTCACAATTACTAATATGTAACTAGAACCAGCCACCTTGTTCTGCTAGAGCTCTGTGTATGTGCACTTGCCCTTGATTTTTTATTTTAACTCCATCTGGATCTATGAAGTCTATGCTACAAAGAGCCAGATCAAAACTTCCCAGAGACACATCTCTCTCTTCATCTCTACTTTCTTTTCCCCCATACTTCTCATCATGGTGTGAGCACTTGGCTTTGGAGGCAGCTTTGAGTCACTCATGTAAATGATATTTTCTTGTTTAAAACAGAGCATTATAAATTACATAAAAGTATCATTGCAACTCCAGTTTCACTTGTTAATAAAGCTATTAGTTTATTGAGTTTGGTAGTTATTAAGTTGTTTAATAAAATTTGTTTATTAACTGTGGAAGAAGTCTCTGTTGCTCCTTAGAAGAGGCAGGTTTCATTCTGGCAGCTACTGTCATGCTTTCATCACTAGAAAAGACTTGTCAGTGTAAGCTGGAGATAAGAAGAGAAGCAAATTAAGAGGTTGCCTTGACCAATAGAAAAATGATCATGCTTAAGCCTTAACAGGTGCAACTGGGAGAAATGGGGGGGAAAAAAGGCTGCTGGGATAACATAGTATGAATTTTCTTAGGAGAAAAAAAAGCCCTAAGGAAAAGAAATAAACTTAAACTGAGACAGCGAATACCTGCTGTGGGCCACTGCATGATAGTCTGTCTACAGGCCATGTCTCCCAAGCAGATTCCTCCTACTCAGCAGCCCACCCATTTGCTCTGCTTTCCACAGGTTGCCAGCTCACAGCAAGATCAATTGCCACTACATGTGTCCTTGTTGAATTATTACCATCAGCTTACAGCAATGCCCACATCTCTCAGAAGCAAGGCCTCCAGCTGCCCAAATCCCAGGGCTGCAAAGCCTCTTCATGAAGCTCTCTCTCCCTTGGGAAATTCTGAGGAGCTGACAGCCAGGAAGATGCAGAGCTGGCATAAGCATCAGACAAAACAGACTTGGGAGCTGGAAGACTGAGGAAAATCCTGGAAATGTAACCCTTTCCATGGGCAAAGCCAGTGGTAGTAGCTTGCTGTGCCAGCTCTGCTGTGTCCATGTGGAGGGCTCATCCCTGCATAAGCTGCAGCTGGGAGCAATAAATAAAAGGGGTTCTTGCCTTGCAGGATTTGCTGGAAGAACCAGTGGAAACCAAATCTCAGTTTCACACAGACACTGAAGGCTGCTCCCTTGAGGGGGAAGTCACCATCTCACATCCAGTGCCCCTTGCCAGGAAGCCAGGCTGGCCCTTCCCAGCACTCTGACCCACACTGGCTTCCCTGGCCAGGTCCCCACAAGGTCACACAGTGGGGGCAACAGCAAATCAATGTGATTAACATCACACCTCCCCCACTGGCAACATCCTGTCCGTGGGAGATCTGTAGAGCTCTGTCTGGCAACAGCCTTCTCCCAGGAGTGTATCTTGAGCTTTGCAAGAAATTTGAGTTTCTGAGAAATACAGATAGCCACAGATGCGTCCATTTTGAGTGCAGTCCTAGCAGTCTAAAAGACATTTTTGAAGTGAAATGTGGGGAAAGGAGAAATAAAGGTTTATTTACTTTTTTTTCCCCCTGGGGGTTCAAATGAACAAGCCACTCCACCCTTTGTGCTAAGAAAGTAATAAAAACACTTTTCTTAATTCCATAATAATACCTGGGTGCCTAGATCCGGTTGTGCTACTTCTTTTCCTAAAAGCAAGTCATCTTGGCTTCCACTTGCCTTGATTTATACCCATACTGCACAAACCACTTTGCAGGTGTGTCAGATTGCTGCCAGATTGGCTGTGCTCAGGCTCACTTGTGTATTTGCTTTCTCACTTATTTCCCACAGCACCTCAATGATCTGGAGGACTAGGACAGGCTGGGTTAAAATTACTTTTTTTCTTCTCCATTCCAGAAATGTTCTTAAACTATAAAACACTTTCCTACTTCTTATTAGGTGTCATCGAAACCATTTTGAGGCTTTGTTACCCAAGCTCTCATGGGCTGGGAAACAGGAGCTCAGGTACAGTGGGTGCTGATGCAAACATGGGTGCACAATGTGCAACCCCTTGCACCACAGGAGGCTTTTAAAGCTCAGAAGATGGAAAGTTTGATATCTTTGGAATGCAAGGCTGAGCATCAGTTTTTTAATCAGCAGTTACAGCTGCTGTCAACTGCCTTCCTGGCAACCCCCTGCTGGTGGTGGAAGTGGTTTTGGGAATGTTTTGCAATAAAAAGATCACCTCTTAAAGGGGAAAGCAGAGCACTCTGCCATCTTCCAGCATTTTGCACACTGATCTTAGAACAATGGAAAAAAACTAAACAGCCTAATAAGCATTAGAGAAATCCTGACCTTTCTTTGCTACCATTTAATTCAGCATACACATGAATAATTAAATTATACCGAATAACTGGCGCAGTATCTGCGAGTGCCCAATTTCCTTTAGTTTATTAAACATGTGTGCATGAAGTTTTCCTTCCCTACCATATTGTCTTTTGTCACAAGAGGTGCTGAAAGCATTTGAAATTTCAGTAGCTACTGGTGAAGTAAAATTATATCATTGACAAGACACTCCTTTCCTCTTGGCCCCCAAAGTCCCACAGCTGTTAGCAGACAGACCTCAGCAGCTGGATAAAGGCAGTGGCACCAGGAGTACCAGGAGTCCCTGATGATGTGTCAGGGGATGCTAACTCCGATCTTGATAAATCCAAGGAAGTGTGGGGATGTTGGTGTCAAAAAAATGCAGCTTTCCAGGCAGCTAAATGACATTTACAACCATCTTTTATGTACTACCACTTGATCTTCATAGTCATTACTTTTTATTCAGCGTTTTCTGAGCTACTTCACTGTGAAAAGAGGAAGATGCCTTTGACAGTGTTCCAGGTATGTTGAGAAGTGTCAAAGCTTTTCCTGCTTTCAAGTAATGAAGATCAAAACTTAAAAAGTTTAAAACATTCACTTAAACCTTGTAAATACCTTGAAACATTTTTACTACATATTTATTCCTCCTTTTATTTCATTCGTTATTCAAAAACAGAGCTTCCATATAAATGTCATAAATGTCCCATCTGCTTCAGCTTAATGGAAGAAAATTGTGGGCAAATCAAATCAACATTTTTCATTATTCCACGTACAGGAGCCTGCCACGCTTCACCAGCATCTCCAAAAGCACAGGTCCAGGCAATGGGACGAAGACAAAGCATTAGAGAAACATGTGCTCAAGCCTTAAAGTTCCCAAAGTTGAAAAAAATCTGGTTAAAGGATTTAAATTTGCATTTTATTTTATTATTTTTTCAGCATTTCTTCTGTAGAATGCTACTGAGTCCCCACAAACTTGGAAACCATGCAACACTAATTAGCTTCTAAACCGCTTAATAATTTGTAAGGTTATACCAACAGTATTGGTGTGTATTGTAATTGCAATTTTCATTTCAGTCTCAAACTGGAAGGAAAAAAAACAGAAGCTGGATTTTCTACAGTCAAGACTGTTAAAAAATATACAAAAGAAATAAATCTGTTTTCTTAAGGAAAAGTTTATATTACTACAGTGTTATTGCATACCTGACACTCCTCTAGACAATAGTGCAACACAGGTGGGTAATGAAGACATCCTCAGAAATTCTACTCTTTCAATAAATGAGATAAAAATGCTCAAAATGTACTTTCCTTTAATTAGAGTTCTTTCTTCAGAATCCTCCCAGAATAAATATTAAAAAAACCACCAAACTTAAAATCTCATTCCATATTTCAAAGAAGCTTGCCTATGTCCCACCTAGCTTTGCATTTCATTAAGGGACCAATTTCTGGCTTTATTAAAGCTTTAATAGACAGTCCTCTGGATTGCAAAGTGCAGCAGATCCATTAGCATGTCATTGAGTGCCATTAGACAACTGCTTTGAACTTTTGTTGCTTCACATTTGGGTACCCAGCAAGGCAGTGCAGGAGGTGAGCAAGTGCTTTGGACAAGGGGTTATTGGGCAACAGATCCCATCTGTTCTGACATGGTTAAAATGCCACGGCAGGGCCCTGGCATTTCAAGTTGCCCTCTTGAGGAGAGAAATGACATACTGAAAAGATTTGACAAGGAGCGTTGTTTTAGTCTAATCTATTTTTTAAAGCAAGTTATCAAATATTTGATTGAAACTCTGCAGAGAAACAAAGAGCTTGATTTATGTAAGGAAGATGACATCTCTCTCTGCCAGGAGCTGTTCTGGAGCAGGTTAGAGTTTGCAGCTAATGTAACTTAATTATGGGTACTGAAAACAAAGCATTTAGGAATGAAGTCACAACTGAACAGCTACCATGACTAAAAGTGGCAGAAGTAGAATAGTTCCATCAACTTCAGCGATAAAGTGAAGCCCATTCGTGAAATCAGTGGGTGTCTCGCCCGAATGAGCAGCGCAGGATTAGACTCGATTGCACATCATGCCAGCACTAGTTAGAAACATAGAACAGATGTCAAGTAAATAGGGATGTGTGGGACAAAACAGAAATAATTGTAAAAATGTGCCCAAGGATAAAATAAATTGATCCTAAGACACTAACAAACACTCTTGTATAAGGCAAAATGAGTCTTTGTACTGGGTTGGCTTTTATTTTCTTGCTAATATTGCATAACAGAACTATGCTAGCATGATGAGGAGGGGGGATAATAAAATAACTTATCAATGCACTATTAACTCTACACACTCTTACCTAATAATAAGATATTGATGTCTCCTTTAATGCATGCCCCTTTGTTGAGAACTTTCTCATTACCCTGCAGTAGCATACACAAAATGGCTTTTTTAATATACTCATGGCCATGAACGTTTGGTGCTAAAGGCTTGCTTAAATGGTCAAAGATACCCTATTTAAGAAACAGCAAACACTTACATTGCACATTACCAACATTAAATGCAATCTCATTATCCATTAGCCAGTATTAGTGCAATTTATATCTTACTTTGAGTTTTGCAGAATTTCTTGATCTTTGCCACATCATCAGTTGAGAATGTGGATGCTATTTCTTTGCTCATCAGTTTGATATTATTAGGAAGCATTATTGTCCTGGGTATTTTCCTGCAGATGCAGAGAAATGTCATGAGATTAACTATTAAATAAATACTGGACCATTGTTTACACAGTACAAAAAAAATATAAAGAAATCATTGGATTTATTCATTTTATTATGGCTTGGCAAGTGAAATCTACATTGCAAGAGGATTCAATGACGCTCCAACATCAGCCCCTGCAAAGAGGGCTCAAGGAAGAGCAGGGACACAACTCAGGGGACATTGAGTTGTTCCTGGGGAGGGCCCAGGGCCAGGTAATGGGAGGAAATTTGTCAAAGAGGAGATTGCATTAGATGGAAAGGGTTGCTGTCAGCTCCAGTGGTGGTGTGGCAGCGATCTCCAGCAGGGAGCGACCGGCAGCAGCTGGCACAGGCCAGGCCAGCTCCTGGCTCTGAAATAGTGGGATCCTCCTAAGTACTGGAAGCATGCTGAGAAGATATTTTTAACTGTTTGGTAAATGCCAGTCCCTGCCATGGGACACCAAGTTCCTATCAAACCAGTGCTGATGGCAGCCTCTCCTGCTGCCATGCCGAGTTTTATGACTGCCTTACTCCTCCTGTGCTCTGGCCAAAAGAAATTGATTTTTCTGTAAATACCTTCCACATGATATCTGTAATATGGTAAACAGACCATTTGCTCTTGAGACATAGGGTATTTGGATATTTCCCCACGGAGGAGGAGGAGGATGGATGGCAACTCTGGCAGCTACACAATGGTATGTTGAGGAAAGGAGGATATAATGGCTCACAAGTTTGCCATATTTTTGTTCCAGTGCCAGCCTCAACCTGAGCTGCAGCCAACACCTTAAAGGTAGGTCAGGACACCAGGATCTGAAGAGACATCTGCATGGGGATGCCTGCTGTCCACTGAGGGACAGCAGCTCCCCACTGCAGCCACAGGACCAGACCAGGCAGTGGGCACCCAGCGAGACCAGTGCTACCAGCAGAGCAGGGAGAAATGCTGTATT